CTATTTTCCCCCGACAGACCCCTATTTCACTTCTTTAGTTTTCTATGATTGTTTAGTAGGTGGTTGGGGAAGTTTGTAGTATAGCTGTAATTTTGAGGAATTTACTTCAATCTAGATATAATTCTTATACAGTGTTTAGTAATGCTTTGTAAATACTCAACGTGGCAATATAGAAAGTGTTCAACTACTGGTCCCTTTCCTCCACCTGCCATTATTAGTACCATAATGCACCATAATACTTCTACACTTTTATTATTATCTGAATTGGGAAGTATACAATTAAAAACACTTATGAATTTAGTACTAGTAAATTTAATACTAATAAATGGTTGATGTATTTACAGACATTATTCATTCTACAGGCAGAGCTTGATGCACAGATGGATTCCTGGTCTCCTTGGTCCACAGGATGGGAACTGTTGGTATTGTGTTTGATCCAAAGAATATTTGTCTTAAGAGTAGCAGTTGTGTCCAGTTCTCCTTAAAGAAGGCCCAGATTATGTAGATTTTACTGTGGTTTTATTTTACCAATTAATTGAAGTTTGAGTCCTTGGATAGAATTTGCAGATCTGCTTTGCATGCAGAATTAAACTTGTAAACTAAATTTACTTGGTTGTATTCATATATTTAACACTTAAAGTGATATTTAGTAAGTTTTATTTCAGGGTACAGTGTTAACTTTTAGAGGTGGCTACTTTGGAAATAATTTTATGTACTTTTTTTGTCATCTGAAAAAAATATACTCTGTTAATTTCTTAGTAATATTGTAAAAAAAAAAAACAAAAACGAATAGTTGAGTTGATGTTATCCTTACTCTTCCATTCTATTTACCAATTACCACAGGTAGATATGGCTGTCTCAGATAATCTTCAATGACTTTTCTTTTCCTCTTTTTGAGACAAGGTCTCTGAATGCAATAGTGTGTTCATGGCTCACTATAGCTTCAACCCTCCGGGCTGAAGTGATCTTCCTACCTCAGCCTCCAGAGTACCCGGGACTACAGGCATGTGCCACCACCCTGGGATAATTTTTGTAGTTTTTGAAGAGGGAGTTTTGCCATGTTGCCCAGGTTGGTCTCAAACTCTTGGACTCAAGCAGTCCACCCACCTAGGCCACCGGTGCTGGGATTATAGTCGTGAACACTCAGCCGCTCTTCACTGAATTTTAGCTTGCAGTTAATAAACAGCATTCCTGCAACATTTCACGTTCCCTTAGAGTGGACACTGTACATCATTACTCATTTTTTTTTCCCCCTCAAGACAGTCTTACTCTGTCATCCCGACTGAGGTACAGTAACACAATCATAGCTCATTGCAACCTTGAACTCCTGGGCTCAAATGGTGGTCCTCTCTTGGCCTACTGAGTGGTTGGGACTACATGCACAGGCCACTGCACCTGGCTGATTAAAAACATTTTTTTGTGGGGGGGCTGGGTGTAGTGGCTTACATCTATAATCCCAGCATTTTGGGACGTAGAGGCAGGTGGATCACTTGAGGTCAGGAGTTTGAGACCAGCCTGGCTAACATGGTGAAACTCTGTCTCTACTAAAAATACAAAAATTGGCTGGGTGTGGTGGCATATGCCTGTAGTCTCAGCTACTTGGGAGTCTGAGGCAGGAGAATCATCGAACCTGGGAGGTGGAGGTTTTAGTGAGTTGGGATCGTGCCACTGCACTCCAGTGTGGGTGACAGAGCGAGGCTGTCTCAACAACAAAATTTTTTTTTCTTTTTTGTAGTGATGGAATCTTGCTATGTTGTCCAGGTTGGTCTTGAATCCTGGGCTCAAGTGATCCTCCCACCTCATCCTCCCAAAGTGCTAGGATTACAGACTTGAGCCACTGTGCTTATCATCTAATAATAAGGCACATCTCTTAAAACTCTTGATCTTGGTTTTGGTATTGCTTAGTTATCTGGATTTTCAGAGGTGGTGGGCTAATTAGGCAGCTATCTCTCCATTATTTTACCAGGCACATATGACAGTGATTGTCGTTGTTATTTTTGAGATGGAGTCTACCTCTGTCGCCAGGCTGGTGTGCAGTGGCGCAGTCTTGGCTCACTGCAGTCTCAGCCTTCCGGGTTCAAGCAATTCTGCTGCCTCAGCCTCCCGAGTATCTGGGATTACAGGTACACACCACCATGAGCCTTCCGGGTTCAAGCAATTCTGCTGCCTCAGCCTCCCGGGTATCTGGGATTACAGGTACACACCACCATGCCTGGCTAATTTTTGTACTTTTAGTAGAGACAGGGTTTCATCATGTTGGCCAGGATGGTCTTGACCTCTTGACCTTGTGATCTGCCTGCCCCAGCCTCCCAAAGTGCTGGTATTACAGGCATGAGCCACCATGCCTGGCGACAGTGATGATTTTTTACGGCAATTTTTTGTTTATTTTTGAAATCAGCCTGGGCATTTAAATATATTATGCCAGTACATTAGTTACATGAGGATTAGTTAAGGCAATGTAAGGTTATGGGCGGTTTAGTTGTAGTACTTAAACAAGCATGGATTTTTGAATGTGAATATTTTAGAGGAAATATTGAAATTACTTAGAATAGTTCTAGATATATGTTCATTATGGCATTTATCTTATTTCTACATGCTCATTTTCATTTCCAATAGCATGAGGAATAACTTACTTATATTTCATTCCTGAGAAACTAAAAGAAGCTGCCTAAGGAGTATAAAAATTGCCATTACATCTGTATTGTCTACTTTTGGGATGCTTATATGATTATAGATCGCTGCTCTTCCACACATTTTGGGCTGCTATCAGGTTGTAAGTAATCAGTATACAAACTAAATTTAAAAATTTAAGCAAGATAATTTTATATTACTTGGGTCAGGGAAAAATGCAGTTGCTGAAGGTTGCATAGCTAAATATAAGCAATTTTGCTTTTTATAGTGTTTTGGATTATATCCTTTCCCTTTTAGTAATAGAAGTAATACAGGTAGGAATTAACTTAGCACTTCCAAATTAATGGTAATATTAGACATGCATACACAAGCCAGGATTAAGGTTACATAGAAATATGTCTCATCCATGTTTAATGTGGCTGACCAGCCCAATTGATTAGCTAATTTTATTGCTCTGTTTTTGTTAAAATTGTAAATACAGTTGTTCATTGTTAAAATAAGTGAGTAGGATTAAAATAGAGATTGATAAAAGTAAAGCCTTAAAAACCTTTTAGCTAAAGTAGCAGGCTTCAAGTGAAATTCAGTTTTGGTCTCCTTTACAGGAATAGCTATTCACAGTCAGACAGAACCACTTATCACGTTTTGCAGTATCTCCTGAGGAAGTCAGAATCTGAGCCAGCATGAAGACGGAATCTTGTCTTCGATCTGATTTGCAAACCGTACTTTTATTCTAATCATGTGCAAGGTGGAGGTAATAGCGTGGGAACTAAAATCTTAGTAAGTGTGGTTTTTATTTTAGCTATTACATAGTATACTTTTTAAAAAATAAAATTTAAATTTATTTCACCACCTATCATAAGTAGTATACTTTCTTATAGTGATTTTTTTTCTTAGCAGAGTTCACATTATGAATGGGTGTGGACTTGGCAGTCTGGAATATAATTCAGTATACTTCCAAAGTGAAAGGTTTAGGCCGGGCACTGTAGCTCACACCTGTAATCCCAGCACTTTGGGAGGCCGAGGACGGTAGATTACGAGGTCAGGAGTTCAAGACCAGCCTGGCAAGGATGCTGAAACCTCATCTTTACTAAAAATAAAAAAATTAGCTGAGCATCATGGCACGCACCTATAATCCCAGCTATTCGGACGGCTGAGGCAGGAGAATCACTTGAAAAGGTTGCAGTGAGCTGAGATTGTACCACTGCACTAAAGCCTGAGCAACAGAGCAAAGACTCCATCTCAAAACAAACAAACAAACAAACAAAAAAGTGAAAGATTTAACCTCTCTAGATTCAGGAAAAATCCCTGAGAGAGAGAAAAGCTTTTATACTCTTATCTAGGATTTCTTTCTCTTTCTTGGTGAAAAATAGGTGTTGAAATGTTACTGAGTTAGAAGAAGAGTGGCCAGTGTCTAAATTCAAGCCATTTAAAAAAATCATTAAATGTGCTACGTAAGTTGCTTCATTTATCAATTAGTTGACATTAACTCTCGAAGACTTTATTATAGTGTAGTATTAGCTCGTTGTTGAATCCTAGGAACCTTTTAAATAGTAAATATATTTTAAATATGAATTGAATTTTGAGTATATTTTAAGTATTCAAAATTTAAAATATTTTAATTACAAATAATCACAATGATATTGGAATGATTATGCTACTAGTTATTTTCAGTGACCTTCCATGGATTTAATTTTCCCAAGTAGTCTTCTTTTTGTGTTCTAGATAGAACTAGATTTTGAGGCTACAAGATATCAAGCAACTATCTATTTAATGTTACTTTGTTAATTGTAGCCATTACTTCTCTACATCTTTCTTTACTACCTGTCCTAATTAAGAACAGTGGATAATTAGCATTTTAAACTGCTTTTCTCTCTTAGGGAGAATGATAGAATTGATGTTTGATTTTCTGTATTCATGAATCATAATCTGTGTTTTTCATAATTTGAGAATGGTTATGTGCTTAAGCTATTATTTACTTTGCGTTGTTTCCTCTACCTTTGACTCATTATAAACTATTACTTATGTTTGTAAATTGATAGGATGGCTTCCCTGAAATTAAACATTTCTATTAATGGCTTCCCTTTAATCTTCATCCTTCTTAGTTCAAACCTCCTATCTCCTGCCTATCTCTTTAGCATTCCTAAGTTCAATTTTATTAAATTCCAAGGTCTAAGATTTTTTCTTTGGGAGTTTATCTCCAGTGTTTCTATGGAAATCAAAAAAGAAAATTAGAATAATTCAATGTTGAAATGTTATATGCATCTTTTGAGAAATTTATATTTTGTAGGTTGAAGGGTATGCTTTTTGGGGAGCATATTTTTGGAGGTGGAATGTAGTTATCTTAATAACCATGTCCTAATTATTTATAGCTTCCTGCCTGACACAACTCACTTCAAGGAGTGCACAATGTCAGAACGTGGAATTAAGTGGGCTTGTGAATATTGTACGTATGAAAACTGGCCATCTGCAATCAAGTGTACTATGTGTCGTGCCCAAAGACCTAGTGGAACAATTATTACAGAAGATCCATTTAAAAGTGGTTCAAGTGATGTTGGTAGAGATTGGGATCCTTCCAGCACCGAAGGAGGAAGTAGTCCTTTGATATGTCCAGACTCGAGTGCAAGACCAAGGGTTAAATCTTCATATAGCATGGAAAATGCAAATAAATGGTCATGCCACATGTGTACATATTTGAACTGGCCAAGAGCAATCAGATGTACCCAGTGCTTATCCCAGCGTAGGACCAGGAGTCCTACAGAATCTCCTCAGTCCTCAGGATCTGGCTCAAGACCAGTTGCTTTTTCTGTTGATCCTTGTGAGGAATACAATGATAGAAATAAATTGAACACTAGGACACAGCATTGGACTTGCTCTGTTTGCACATATGAAAACTGGGCCAAGGCTAAAAGATGTGTTGTTTGTGATCATCCCAGACCTAATAACATTGAAGCAATAGAATTGGCAGAGACTGAAGAGGCTTCTTCAATAATAAATGAGCAAGACAGAGCTCGATGGAGGGGAAGTTGCAGTAGTGGTAATAGCCAAAGGAGATCACCTCCTGCTACGAAGCGGGACTCTGAAGTGAAAATGGATTTTCAGAGGATTGAATTGGCTGGTGCTGTTGGCAGCAAGGAGGAACTTGAAGTAGACTTCAAAAAATTAAAGCAAATTAAAAACAGGATGAAAAAGACTGATTGGCTATTTCTCAATGCTTGTGTGGGTAAGTTTCTGTATTCTGCATTTTTTGAATGGGATGGGAAAAGATAGTAAAAATGATATAAGAAGAGCTGGGTGTGCTGATACATGTCTGTTTTAGCCACTTGCTTGAGACCAGGAGTTTGAGGCTGTAGTATGCCGTGATCAGTCTGAGTAGCAACTGCACTCTAGCTTGGGCAGCATAGTGAGACTCTGCTTCCAAAATATATATGATGTGCAAGGTCAGTATTTAGCATCTAATTCATTCAACATGTTGTATTTTCAAGTATGCATACATAAAAATTTGTGTATTTGTGATCTTGTCATAGCTTTGTGCTAAATTGCCCACAATTAATTGTGTTTATGTCTCTCCATTACTGGGGGCCAGGGAAACTTTTAAGTTAAAGCAAAGTTTTTACACATCAATAGTAAAATATATACCTGGACTTTAAAACTGCTACTGTGTTTATTGTAACAAGATGTAACTGAGGAACACCAGCTGCTGTTTCCAAGTATTTGTAAACAGTGTGAGCATCTTGTGATGATAGAAGCTTTAGTCAGATGTTAAAAATACCACAAAAATGTGTGACTCCAAGAAGTTGAACAAACATAATAATGACCTTGAAAATACTGGTGTTACTTTAACATGAGTGTCATGTAGTAAATATTTGCAAACTTTATGGAACTGATTACATGTAGCCAGCTGATTCTATACTTACGGTTCATATGTTTTGTGACATTTTTCTCAGGAAATGCTGTTAACAGCACAGAGACAGAGGAGAGCAGAATTTTCTTCAGTTATTGACCTCATGAGTTAATTGTGGTGTAATTCACAAAAGCAGTGACTTGAGTCTTCGGTATTTTTTTGAATAGATTAGATGTGGATTCTTATTAAATTATTTGGATGGGCTGCTTACTTTGACATTTGGTTTTATAAGGGAAATTTTGAATGATTACTAAGGCTAAACTTTGTGTGGAACAGTAGCTGAACCGTAACTTACACTTAGCTGTATTTTTCCCCTCTACCAATTTGTTTCATTCATCCCTCTGGGTACAGCCCAAGAATATGGAAGGTTTAGCTGTGTGCACCTCCCATGAGTCCTAATAATTGATTTCAAGAAATCTTGAGTTTTTAAAATTAAATTATAGATATGTGTATATAATATGTTATAGAAATTTCTTCCCCTACCATGAGATCTCACCATTCTCTCACCCAGGCTAGAGGGCAGTGGTTGCTCACTGCAGCCTCAGCCTCCTGGGGTCAAGTGATCCTGCCACCTCAGCCTCCCCAGTAGCTGGGACTATAGGCATTTTACCACTATACCCAGCTATTGTTTTTAACTATTATTTGTGGAGATGGGGGTCTCCCTATGTTGCCCAGGCTGGTCTTGAACTCCTGGGCTCAAGCAATCTTCCCACCTCAGCCTCCTAAAGTGTTGGGATTATAGGCATAATCTGCTGTGCCCAGCTGAAATCCTGAGTATTCAATTTTAACTTTGTTCTGGCAAAAAAGAATATCTCAGCAGATGAAGCCTTCTGACCTCCAGAGGTAGTAGGCATTTGGCAATGCTTACTTCCAGTTTTCTCCCATTCTGAGGATGAGGGTTGAAAACACACCAAGCCATCTTCTGCTGTCTCTGTTGTTCCATTTTATTCCACTGATTTTTCTGCTCCAAATTGAGGGACAACATATGGTATGATTGTCAGTTTTAAAAATTTAAACAGGACGGCCGGGCACGGTGGCTCAAGCTTGTAATCCCAGCACTTTGGGAGGCCGAGGCGGGTGGATCACGAGGTCAAGAGATCGAGACCATCCTGGTCAACATGGTGAAACCCCGTCTCTACTAAAAATACAAAAAATTAGCTGGGCATGGTGGTGCGTGCCTGTAATCCCAGCTACTCAGGAGGCTGAGGCAGGAGAATTGCCTGAACCCAGGAGGCGGAGGTTGCGGTGAGCCGAGATCGCGCCATTGCACTCCAGCCTGGGTAACAAGAGCGAAACACTGTCTCAAAAAAAAAAAAAAAAAAAAAAAAAAATTTAAACAGGAGATACAAAAGGGTTTTATTATTATTAGTTTCCTTATTGAGATCAAATTCATTTAACATAAATATTCACTGTTTTGAAAGTGAACAACTTGTTTGGCATTTAGTGCATTCACATTGTGTAACCACTACTTCTGTGTTGTTCCAAAACATTTTCATCATTCCAAAAGGAAACTATGTACCCATTAAGCAGTTACTGCCCCCTACCCCTACCCCGCAACCCTTGATAACCACCAGTCTGCTTTTGGTGTCTGTGGATTTACCTATTTTGGATATACATATAAATGAAATCTTTACATATCTATGAGCTTTGATGTTGGGTGTGATTGTCTTTTAATTGCTTATATGCCTTTGAAACACTCGTAAAATCATGTTTTTGTACTGTACTGTGAATACTTGAACTACAAGATGGTGTTATAGTACATGTAGGTTTACAGATGAAAATGAACTAGCCTTCATCATGATGATGCTTAACCTTTTTTGGGGTCATAGAATCCTTTAGGAATCAGGGTTTCACTTCAGCCCCCGATTGCTTCAAGTCAATGGATCTCAGGATAAGAACACCTGATTTGAAATACTTTCTCTCCTTGAAACACACGAGTTAGATGAATCATGTTTGTCTTTATGACATTATTTCTTCTTGGTCCTGCCTTTTTCTACATGTCCTTACTTCTTTTGACTAGACAACTAGCCATCCTTGTACCTCTTTGCATTTTATTTATTGAAACAGAGTTGTGCTCTGTCACTCAGGCCGGAGAGCAGTGGTGCAGTCAAGGCTGCAGTGAGCCTTGACGTGAGCCAGTCATGGCTCACTGCAACCTTGACTTCCTCAGCTCAAGCTATGCTCCCACCTCAGCCTCCCGAGTAGCTGGGACTACAGGTACGTGCCACCATGCCCGGCTAATTTTTGTATTTTTTCGTAGAGACAGGGTTTCATCTTGTTACCCAGGCTGGTCTGAAACTACTGGGCTCAAGTGATCCACCCACTGCAGCCTCCTAGAGTAATGGGATTACAGATGTTAGCCACTGGGCCTGGCCCACGTCTTTGCTTTTTTTTTTTTTTTTTTCTGGGAGACAGTCTCGCTGTCCCCCAGGCTGGAGTGCAGTGGTGTGATCTTGGCTCACTGCAGCCTTCTGGGTTCAAGCAGTTCTCTGCTTCAGCCTCCCGAGTAGCTGGGATTACAGGTGTCCGCCACCATGCCCAGCTAATTTTTGTAGTTTTAGTAGAGATGAGGTTTCACCATCTTGGCCAGGCTGGTCTTGAACTCTGGACCCTCATGATGCACCTGCCTTGGCCTCCCAGAGTGCTGAGATTACAAGCATGAGCCACTGTGCCTGGCCACCCCTTTGCATTTTAATCACTATGACTTCAATTTAAAAGTGGAACAAAAACTTCTACCATAGGACCAGTATTGGATTTGGCCTTGTTTCATTTGCAAATGAAAACAATTTGTTGGCTGGGCACTTTGGGTGGCAGGCGGAGATCGAGATCATCCTGGCTAACACGGTGAAACTCTGTCTTTACTAAAAGTACAAAAAAAATTAGCCCGGCTTGGTGGCATGTGCCTGTAGTCCCAGCTACTTGGGAGGCTGAGGCAAGAGAACCCCTTGAACCCCAGAGGTGGAGGTTGTGGTAAGCTGAGATCCTGCCACTGCACTCTTGCCTGGGTGACAGAGCCAGACTCTATCTCAAAAACAAAAAACGAAAACAACTATTTGTCATTAAGTTGCTGTTTCTTCCTGCAAAGTTTGCAGATTCTTAGGGCCAAGGGTTAATTGTATTTGGTTCTTGGTAATGTGGACTGTGTCTTTCCTATCAGCGAATATTTTTTACTGTTAACTGTACAATGTCGTTCTGAATTGTTATACATAAGGTTATAATTATAGGCCTGTTTCTATGGGATAGCCATATTCTGATTTGTAAACATCACTGAAATATGCTAAACACTTTTTTTTTTTTTGACTGGTTTACATTGTGTTGGGTTAACTAAAAAATAAAAAAAAAGGTTTGAGCAGTAAGACTAACAAAATTAATCTTTAATTCCCTTCCTAGATTTCTTTAGATACAGTGTATTTTGGCTTATTGTTGTTAGTGATTTTTAAAAAGTCCATCTCTAAAGTATGTACACTGAGTATAAAATACGAGACTTTTTCCATTTAAAGTTGGGAAAAAATTTGGACCTCAGGTCAGCTTTGTAGCTGATGAAGTAGGAAAGAGTAAGATTCAGTTGTTGAGAGGGCAGATGTAAACTAAGGTATCAACAGTATTAAGCAAACATATTAACATGGCTGTTGTATGTAAGTTTCACATAAGTGCATATTATCTTACGTGGTCAGAGGATGCTGGGGACAGCTGTGCCAAAACCTGACATCATTAATGGAACCTGAGATTGGGAATCAGGGTGGTAAAGGTAGAGGTGTGAATGTAAATGTACAGTTGTCTTTGGAGTGTTTGCAGTTGTTGCTGGATTTTTTTTAGGGACGTCAGGTTTTTAGGGAGGTCATGTCAGTACTCAGTGTAGACTGCTTTTCTCACTGGGCAGACAACAGTATATCTGGAGAATAGAGCAACACTATCTAATGTCCTCCTTTTGTTCTGCTATTGTATTGAATCAGTTGCCCTATGAAATTGCACTTTGACAATTTGTGTACATAGTTGTGTCCTTAAAAAACAGGGTTAGATAAGAACGCTGTATTAAATCTGTGCTGTAACTTGTATTCCTGAACCTTAGACCCATATATCCAGCTGCCTATTCAACATCTTTACTGGAGTGTTTAATAACTCAAGCTTATTTCAAGCTCAGTGATGTTAAAACAGAACTGGGCTCTCCTTCAAGTCTATTTTTTCCCAGGCTCCCATCTTGGTTGATAGCAAATTTCTGATTCCATTGCTTGTGTCAAAAGCCTTGTTTCTCCTCGATTCTTCTTTCTCTTATGCCCCACTTCTATTTCTCAGAAGATCCATTGGCTCTACCTTCAAAA